TGACAACTCATGGGGCCCCCGGGCAATAGGGGATCATGGGGCCCGTGTCCTTGCCCAAACTCAAAAAAGCCTATGAAAAAGGTACCATGGGCATCTCATGGGGCCCCCTACTGACTCCGGGCCCTCGGACAGTGCCTCAGTTTCCAAATGGTCAGTCCGCCCCTGGTGCAGTGCCATGTGTTTTGGTGGTTGTGAATGCATCTGTGTTTACTAGATTTGTGGAGGTGCAATTAAGTATTCATGGTACCTGCGCACATCTGCAAACAACATTGTTTTTCTTTGCTGTGTAGTAAAATGCATTCTCTTGCATGCGTTTCTGCACCACAAATGGTGTGAACAAGTCCTAAGGGCCAGTTCACATTATAGAAACACAGTCTACATATGTTCCGGATGCGTTTTTGCAGGCATGATTTTTATGCGTTTTTAGCGTGTTCCAGTGCATTTTTTATGCATTCCAGTTCCAACTGAAACGCATGTAGTGTGAACTGGCCCTGAGGGCTGGTTCACACTATAGAAACAAAATCCAGATGCGTTTTTGCATGTGCATTTTTTGCACTTTCCGGTTTGTTTTTTACGTGTTCCAGTTCATTTTTCCCCCTCCTTTTCTTCATTTTAATTAGGGACATGTGTTTTCCAGTGCAGTTTGGATGCGTTTTACAGTACAGTTCTGTGCAGAAAAAATGCAGCATGTTCTACTTTTTTTTCTGCAACCGGAACGCACTGGAACTGCAAGCACTGATGTGAACTATGACACTGACAACCTTATAACCTACTTTCTGTGCATTTTGGATACAGAAAAAAAGCAACTGAAACGCATGTAGTGTGAACTGGCCCTAAAGGGTTTTATAGGTAAGGGAATGGGACTGACCAGGAATTGTGGAGGCAATCAGACTAGTGGTGAGATACAATCAGGAATCATATAATAATGCTAGATGTGAGCTGTAAGTGATAGGAAATGAGACATTAACTAGATCAGTAAATAGTTAAATAAAGAGTTGAGCAGTGATATATAGATTTGCAGAGGGATCCAGTGATGACAGTGGGGGGGGGGGGGGGGGGGGGGGGGGTCAATAAGGAAAGAGAGGTTTGTAGCCATGAACAGAAAGGGAACAGCAGTCTGGGGGAGAGGAGAGAAACAAAGTTGCAATTAACTACAGCTATAAACAGAAGGAAACTAGAAAGTGTCAAACTTGTGGAGCAGAGCTAACATCACAACACTGAGCCCTGTGTGATAGAATGACAGGAGGCTAACAATGGAATTTAGCAGCCGCAGATGGGCTTGTCAGCTGCCTGGGCCCCCCTCTGCAGGTGATGGGGTCAGGCCCCCCCTTATCATATACATAGTGGGGATACTTTACTTTTACACAATTATTTTTAGAGATATCTTCTCACTGGCATCATTGATCTTTTTTCTAGCTATCGATAAGAGGGTAATTCTTCCCAGTGACAAGAGTAAGGAGCATTCTTCCCACTGACACCGGATGTGACAGTGAGGACACACTCGGCATGAAATGCAGTGAGGCTTGAGCCGCACGTCACTTCCGGTTTCCTCAGACGTCACATCCGGTTGCTGGAACGCACAGCAGCCATGGGAATAGCAGTGGTATGAGGAAAGGGACCCCCCCTAGTTAGCCATTTGAGCTGGTGCTCCCTGTGGTACCAGCAATATGCGAGTGAATACTGTTCATTCCTCTTTGTATCGTTTTTTTTTCAATAATATCTACTGCACTATGAATATTTCTCTGGGCTTTCTTCTGAGAATTGCTGGTAATGGAGGCGATGTTGTAATGGTGCTTGACTGGATGGGCTCTAAAGTACTCAGCAGAACTGGGCATCCCACCTAATACATACAAGACCTTGTCTAATACACTTGCTGGCCTCTCTGTTGGTCACAGTTTGGCTACATACGTTGGTGGAACGCAGTTGAAGTCACTCACTCTCACAACAATCTGGTGCTTGAGGATTATTTCTATTCACTATTTTGGACTATATCATTTTGGACGATATAATATTTATTACTTTCTTTACGTGTTGATTTTATGGAAATATTTCTTTGATTACGAAGTGTTATGGTGGTATATTTGGCTAGTGCAAACTTTCACTTATTTCACATTCAAGGGTTCCTCTGTGTTGAAAAGTTTGAAAAAGGCTGATTGAAAGTGTAACTAAAGACAAAACTCTATTTTTCATTTTGGATAGAGTAATGGAGGATTAGTTTGTCAGTTGGGGAGATTTACCTTCATGATAATGATAAACAGGACAAATAGAGAGGGTGAACCCCCTAACAGGGGTAGACAGCAATAAAAACCTAATAGGTGTTCTAATAGCTCTCCACTCTATCCAAAACTAAAAAAAACAAAAAAAACAAAAAAAGTGTTTTCCTTTATACTTTAAGTAAATAAAAAATCTTTCTAAATGTCAAATATTAAGAGAAAAAATATGTCAAAAGTCACATATAAATACCCTTCTTCCACCAATAATTGATATGATTTTTTTAGACTATTTTCATTCAATATTTGATATTTAGAAAGATACTTTGTAATTAACTTAAAAGTTGTTTTTGATATACCACGTGTGTCCCATGAATTCCAGTCACATTTTTCTTTTGTATTAATACATACGCTGCAAGGACTGCACTGACTGAGTTGGCAAATTTCTATGGTTTAAACCATTTACCTAACTGACAGGGGTTCTAACGCTTCCCCACTGTATCCATCTCACTGGATATCGCATGAGTTAAACCACATGGTTTTATGAGATAAACACTGCATGCCTTATTTTAGTAGCATTTTCTGTGAATTGCAAACATTTTTTTTTTTAAAAAACGCTAAGAGGTATTTTACTGCAAATTTTTTGTCATTGGACACAGCAGATCACCAAGTAAATAATGTTGCCGGTTATTGGCAGTACTTTGACAGCGTGAGGAAACTACAACTGTATTTACTCGGTTATCTGTTGTGTCATTGGACACAGCGGATCACGTGGTAAAAGGCCACTGCGGTTGGTCTTTTACCTCAGCATGTGATCAGCTGTGTCTGGATCGTTTGATGAAATGAAAATGATCGCCCTACAGAGGACTGAATTCAAGGACACCCTGGAAATTAAAGTGAAAAAAATTATGCAGAAGGCTAGTCCATTTTGCTGAAATTCATTGCAGCAACTCAAAATGGTACTCAGTAGTTTGTATGGCCACCACGTGCTTGTATGCATGTCTGACAACGTCGGGGCATGCTACTAATGAGACAACGGATGGTGTCCTGGAGTATTTCCTCCCAGATCTGGACCAGGACATCCCAATACCTAATGGCAGTCAGGGTGCCATTGTCTAGCCTGTAGAGGTCTGTGCATCCCTCCATGGATATGCCTCCCCAGACCATCACTGACCCACCACCAAAACGGTCATGCTGAGCAATGTTACAGGCAGCATAACAATCTCCACGGCTTCTCCAGACCCTTTCATGTCTGTCACATGTGCTCAGGGTGAACCTGTTCTCATCTGTGAAAAGCTAATGGTGCCAGTGGCAGACCTGCAAATTCCGGTGTTTTCACTGGCAAATGCCAACTGAGCTCCATGGTGCTGGGCAGTGAGCACAGGGCCCACTGAGGATGTCAGGCCCTCACACCGCCCTCATGAAGTCTGTTTCTGATTGTTTGGTCAAAGACATTCACACCAGTGGCCTGCTGGAGGTCATTTTGTAGGGCTCTGGCAGTGCTCATCCTGCTCCTCGTTGTACAAAAGAGCAGATACCAGTTCTGATGATGGGTTAAGGACCTTCTACAACCCTGTCCAGCTCTCCTAGAGTAACTGTCTGACTCCTGGAATATCCTCCATGCTCTAGAAACTGTGCTGACACAGCAAACCTTCTGGCAATGGTATGTATGGATGTGCCATCCTGGAGGAGTTGGACTGCCTGTGCAACCTCTGTAGGGTCCAAGTATCGCTTCATGCTATCAGTAGTGACACTGACCCTAGCCAAATGCAAAACTGGTGAAAAACAGTCAGAAAAGATGAGTAGGGAAAAAAAATGTCAGTGACCTCCACCTGTAAAAACCATTCCTGTTTTGGGGGCCGTCTCATTGTTGCCCATCGAGTGCACCTGTTAATTTCATTAACACCAAGGCAGCTGAAACTGATTAACAACCCCCTCTGCTACTTAACTTACCAGATCAATATCCCAGGAGTTTGACTTGATGCTATACTCTGATTAAAAAGTGTTCCTTTCATTTTTTTGAGCAGTGTGTATATGGCTACAAGTACGCTTACAATAAAGATAGAGTATACACATAAAGAAATTGCTAAGCGGCTGAATTTCGGTCCGTGTCTATTGCTCTCTGTCCACCAGAAGCTATCATTAGATTGGTTTCTGTTGAATGGTCCTGCTGGAAAACCAGCATTCAATTAGCGCAATGGCCGCAGCGCTGATCTGTGTATTCTGACAGGGCTGGAGTCCCTGCTGTCAGAATACAACCGCACAGTTGGGGAGATCCTCGCTCATTGTTTACATGGATGCAAGGATCTGCGTGTTGTATTACTTTAGCACAGTGTGCCCACACACCTCCACAACACAGTGGTGTGAACCGGGCACACAGGAGACATTTTGCTTTCTAAAAGTGGCATAGCATGAGCCATATTTATGTACACGTTCTAGACAGGTAAATGAATTTGGCACCCAAGGCGCCACTTTTAAAACACATAAAAGACACTTTCACAAAATCTGCCTGTGCCAGTCGCTACAAAGTCCAGGGATTGTGCGTGTTTCCAAACATGGTCAGATCCCGTGAAGATTCCATCAGATTGGTATGTGAATGGCCACCATTAGGAGGACTGGGCGGTGACCCAGGAAGTGACACCCTGGTGGCCATATTCTCCTGGAGTCACCCAACAGGCTTCAGAGCCGACCTTATCACCCTTCCCAATACAAGGCAAGACCCAGGGAATAGGAGCACAGGTAGAAAGCAGCCATCACACATAATGCTCATCCAGATTCAAGATCTCTCACCTCGAACTCCCGGATGTTGTTGGAGGTGACAAAGATCCCGATTCCGATGGGGATGAAAATAATCCCGATGACGAAGAAGGCCGGCAGGACGGTGCCAGCAGTGAGGATGGGCTGCCAAGCCGGAAGGCGCTGCTGCTTGAAGGCCGTGTTATCCGGCTTCTTACTCTTGGCGGCCACTCCAGGGCCCACACCGGAGTGAGGGTGCCCGTCCTCCTCCTTGTAGTTCATCGCCATGGAGGGCTGTGTGTACTACGACCACTTGCCACAGTCCACTCACTGCCGACAAAACACAACAAACCTGCCCGGCCACCACCTCCTCTACGTCACCGCCGGCAGAGCCTCAATGCGGAAGAAGGGCACCTCAGCGCGCATGCGCCCCCAGCTAGGCGCTCATTGGAGGAAGTCGAGCAAGCGCACTTGTCTTTAGCCGGGATGGTCTGCAGTAGTCTAGATGTATTTTTTTATTTGTTTCTTTTCCCGTAGTTGGCCAGCAAGTATAACATTCCGATGGTTTAGCCTTTTGTTCCCCCAAACAGAAAAGAGTCTCGTTGTAAGTGAATAAAACGTTCACTAGGCTGAAGTAAAACTTAAAGTGCTAATAATCTCTTGTATTTTATTTTTACCTACAGGTATACTTAGAATGAGGCTTACCTGCAGGTAAAATGACCATCTCTGAAACATGCACCGTTTAGGAGGTATTCTAGTGAGCAGCAGCTGCTGACGTCATCGGGGCATGCGCTGATAGAAAGAACAGCGTAGCCGGGCTGTTCTTTCAGAGCTGTGTTCTGCGGAAGTGACGTCATCGGGGCATGCGCTGATAGAACAGCGTAGCCGGGCTGTTCCTTCAGAGCTGTGTTCTGCGGAAGTGACGTCATTGGGGCATGCGCTGAAAGAACAGTGTAGCCGGGCTGTTCCTTCAGAGCTGTGTTCTGCGGAAGTGACGTCATCGGGGCATGCGCTGATAGAACAGCGTAGCCGGGCTGTTCTTTCAGAGCTGTGTTCTGCGGAAGTGACGTCATCGGGGCATGCGCTGATAGAACAGCGCAGCCGGGCTGTTCCTTCAGAGCTGTGTTCTGCGGAAGTGACGTCATCGGGGCATGCGCTGATAGAACAGCGTAGCCGGGCTGTTCCTTCAGAGCTGTGTTCTGCGGAAGTGACGTCATCGGGGCATGCGCTGATAGAACAGCGTAGCCGGGCTGTTCCTTCAGAGCTGTGTTCTGCGGAAGTGACGTCATCGGGGCATGCGCTGAAAGAACAGCGTAGCCGGGCTGTTCCTTCAGAGCTGTGTTCTGCGGAAGTGAAGTCATCGGGGCATGCGCTGATAGAACAGCGTAGCCGGGCTGTTCCTTCAGAGCTGTGTTCTGCGGAAGTGACGTCATCGGGGCATGCGCTGATAGAACAGCGTAGCCGGGCTGTTCCTTCAGAGCTGTGTTCTGCGGAAGTGACGTCATCGGGGCATGCGCTGAAAGAACAGCGTAGCCGGGCTGTTCCTTCAGAGCTGTGTGCTGCGGAAGTGCCGTCATCGGGGCATGCGCTGATAGAACAGCGTAGCCGGGCTGTTCCTTCAGAGCTGTGTTCTGCGGAAGTGACGTCATTGGGGCATGCGCTGAAAGAACAGTGTAGCCGGGCTGTTCCTTCAGAGCTGTGTTCTGCGGAAGTGACGTCATCGGGGCATGCGCTGATAGAACAGCGTAGCCGGGCTGTTCCTTCAGAGCTGTGTTCTGCGGAAGTGACGTCATCGGGGCATGCGCTGAAAGAACAGCGTAGCCGGGCTGTTCCTTCAGAGCTGTGTTCTGCGGAAGTGACGTCATCGGGGCATGCGCTGAAAGAACAGCGTAGCCGGGCTGTTCCTTCAGAGCTGTGTTCTGCGGAAGTGACGTCATCGGGGCATGCGCTGATAGAACAGCGTAGCCGGGCTGTTCCTTCAGAGCTGTGTTCTGCGGAAGTGACGTCATCGGGGCATGCGCTGATAGAACAGCGTAGCCGGGCTGTTCCTTCAGAGCTGTGTTCTGCGGAAGTGACGTCATCGGGGCATGCGCTGAAATAACAGCGTAGCCGGGCTGTTCCTTCAGAGCTGTGTTCTGCGGAAGTGACGTCATCGGGGCATGCGCTGATAGAACAGCGTAGCCGGGCTGTTCCTTCAGAGCTGTGTTCTGCGGAAGTGACGTCATCGGGGCATGCGCTGATAGAACAGCGTAGCCGGGCTGTTCCTTCAGAGCTGTGTTCTGCGGAAGTGACGTCATCGGGGCATGCGCTGAAAGAACAGCGTAGCCAGGCTGTTCCTTCAGAGCTGTGTGCTGCGGAAGTGACGTCATCGGGGCATGCGCTGATAGAACAGCGTAGCCGGGCTGTTCCTTCAGAGCTGTGTGCTGCTGCGGAAGCGACGTCATCGGGGCATGCGCTGAAAGAACAGCGTAGCCGGGCTGTTCCTTCAGAGCTGTGTTCTGCGGAAGCGACGTCATCGGGGCATGCGCTGATAGAACAGCGTAGCCGGGCTGTTCCTTCAGAGCTGTGTTCTGCGGAAGCGACGTCATCGGGGCATGCGCTGATAGAACAGCGTAGCCGGGCTGTTCGTTCAGAGCTGTGTGCTGCAGCCGAGACTCTCATACGCAGAATTGATGTCAGCGCAGCTAAGCCAATCAAGTAGCCGCAGCCCAGGAACCCAGTAGGGAAAGTTTTTTGTTTTTTTCTAGAGTTTACTACCATTTAAACATGTTTGTCCTAGATGACAACGCATCATTAATTTTACTGCAGAACAAGCAGCGTTGTCACCTTGTTAGAGGCTCTGCACTGCTCCCACTTCCCTCTTCTGACCATCTCTGTACTACTCCTGCAGTCTCTGACCAACTCCTGTACTACACCTGCAGTCTCTGACCCTCTCCTGTACTACTCCTGTAGTCTCTTACCAACTTCTGTACTACAGGCTGTACTGCAGCCTGTGACCATCTCCTGTACTACGCCGGCAGTCTCTGACTCTCTCCTGTACTATGCTTGCAGTCTCTGACACTCTTCTGTACTACCCCTGCAGACTTTGACCAACTCCTGTACCATCTCTGCAGTCTCTGACCAACTCCTGTACTACTCCTACAGTCTCTGGCCATCTCTTGTACTACACCTGTAGTCTCTGACCAACTCTTGTACTATGTCTGAAGCCTGTGACCATCTCCTGTACTAAGCCTGCAGTCTCTGACCCTCTCCTGTACTACACCTGCAGTCTCTGACTCTCTCCTGTACTATGCTTGCAGTCTCTGACACTCTTCTGTACTACCCCTGCAGACTTTGACCAACTCCTGTACTATCTCTGCAGTCTCTGACCAACTCCTGTACTGCTCCTACAGTCTCTGACATCTCTTGTACTACACCTGTAGTCTCTGACCAACTCTTGTACTATGTCTGAAGCCTGTGACCATCTCCTGTACTAAGCCTGCAGTCTCTGACCCTCTCCTGTACTACACCTGTTTCATTATTCGGAGGTTTGAATTTATCTGAATTTCCGAATTACAATGGTAATGGATTTGAACAAATCCAAAATGGCAAAACAATATTTCATCAGAAATAGTGAAATATCCAAATTCAAAATGAATTTGAATTGAATTTGAAAACAAGTTTGAAATATTGTTGACTATTGCAGATTTCTTTCAAAGACTGTGTGTACTAGTTTTAGAATATGGCCATCTTTCGAAGTTCAAATTTTGAAAAGAGTAGAATAGAATAGAAAATAAAGGAACAAAATAGAAAAGGATGAAAAAGAAAGGAATAGAATAGAAAGAATGTAGCCGTCTTCCAAAATTTTAAGTTAGAATAGCATATAGCCGTCTTCTGAAATTCGAATTTCAAAAAGAATAGAATTGCATAAAATAGAATAAAACAGAATATAATAGGAGTGCGCATGCGCGGGATCTCTGGCGCATACATGTTCGCCTGAGGCTCCGCTGCACAGCGGGAGAAGCAGCCTCACCGACGCCGCTCCCGGCCCACCCCAGCTCCACGAATGCCTCTGCACCATAAGCGGCACCCCAGGAACCTGGCACGATGGTCCGGGGAGCCGCAAAACACCAGCCGCAGGCGAAGCCCACTAAGGAAGCCCTGGCTCGGCCGCCTCCAAAATGGCTGCCAGCTCCGGCTCCACAAAGCAGGCACGCTCCCTCTCCCTCTCCTCAGCTCTGCAGCCTGATCCAGACCACAGCATCTCCGAGGGTGAGTCTGACAACGACACTGACCTGGGGACACCTAGCGCACCACCTACTGCTGACCCCACCAACCCTGTACAACATGACCTTCTCAAACAATTTGAGAAAATGCTGCACAGAGCCCTAAAGCAGACCTCCGACCATATCACGGGCAAATTATCTAAAGAAATCCGTGACCTTGGAGTCTGCACATCTGAGCTAGAACATAGGGGGAACAATCTGGACGCAGCTCTTCATACATACTCAGATGAACTCGAGGCGATGCGCGACGAAAACCTAAAGCTTCATTCCCGCCTTGAGGATTTTGAAAACAGGGCCCTCCACTCAAATATTCGCATTTGCGGACTTCCTGAAACCATCACTGACGTCCTCTCCATGACTACTGCCCTACTCCAAGAACTTTCTCGCTGTCCCAATTGAACGCCTAGAGCTAGATAGGGTGCACTGCGCCTTAGCTCCACGCAGACCGAACGGCCCACCCTGCAACATCATCGCTAAATTCCACTACTTCCGCACCAAGGAACAGATCCTCCAAGCAGCCCGTAACGCAGGCAACCTAACCTTCCAGGGCCATACCTACCAATTATTTCAAGATCTATGCCCTGCCACCATTGCCAAACGTAGGGCCATGAAATCCCACCTGAAACTCCTTCAACAACACAGAATTACATATCGCTGGAACTTTCCATTTGCTGTTCATTTCTCCTACCAGTCCCGCGACTATATTTGCAGATCTACTGAGGAACTCCTGGACGCTCTCCGCCACCTCCAACTCCTCCCTCCCCCAGACACCCCTGAGGGATCACGCAGAAGATCTGCTTCCTGCTCACCCCAGAAAGCCCACCACTCCACTTCAGCAGCAGGTCAACCCAACACTTACAAATGAGGACGTTCTATCTCTCCGGCACCTGCCCCCCAGGACTCCATGGACTGAACCCCGCTCCAGTCGTCTTCACCCTTCTCAAGCTCCGTCTTGCCCATTGATAGTTTCCGGGACTTGACCACCTCGGCCTTTTCCCTACACTCCACCATGGACCCATTCCT